ACGGGGAGGACGAGAGAAGAGAAAGAGGGGACGCGACGAATCGGTGGCGGCGAACTTCGATGCCTTTGAAGTTTTCCCCGATCGCCGGTGGAGTCAGGCCAACCGGAATTTTCTCCGGCGTGTTTTATCGACGGTCGCGACCGGTTGCAGGTCCGCCGAGAGGAATCCGGCATCCGCGACGGGCATTCTCGCGCGCACGAGAGGGACAAAGGCCGAGAGGAGAGGGGACAGAGACGTTCCCGCGTCGGGGGTTCTTGGAGTCGTTCGTGCGGAACAGATATCCAGTCCCGAAATCAGCCTCGTTACCAGATATATGTGCACGGCAGGCCAGAAAGAAGGAGAGCGGAGAACGAGCGAGGGAGACGGGAAGACAGAGTGATTCGCGCGAATACATGCAAAACGGGGGGAACCAGGGGAGGCAGCAGGATGGAGAGAAAAAAAGAGTAGCGGCGAGAATAGAGGGAGTGGGGGCAATCGATACGCAGAGTTTTCTCAATAAGACTGGAAGGAACTATTTTATTTCCGGTCGTTCGATCGCTGGCACTCGGTCTTTTCACGGTAAACTACCACGTACAGAGACGTTGGCGGAAAAGGAAAAGGCATCCACCAGCGGGGGGTGAAGAACGAAGGACGAGCGGAGAAAGAGAGAGGTGAAAGCGAGCGGAGCGCCTCTTTTCCGTGCAGCCCCGTGTCCCCGGCCAGGCCGTTCCGTATGCAAAAGATAGAACGTGCGCCGCAATCTGAACGAAATCTCGAAACGCAATTTCCTGAACGACCGACCGAACGGACGTCGCGTCGCGCATCGACTGTCCGCTGTATCACCGATCGAACATCGATCTCCGAGCTACGCGAATGCGGCTTTAACGATGCACCCGTGCATCCCACACTTTACACCGATCACCTTCCGTCCCCGTTGTTGCTTTTCCCGTCGCGCGGCGAGCCCTATTTTACAAGGGGGGCGCGCGCTGATCCCTGACTATCCCTGACTATCCCTCGGCAGAGTCTTTCGCTTCCGGTGCGAGTTGATCGCGCGATGCCAGGGAACACAGTGCACTCCGAGAAACCGAGGAGAGATTAGTCTCTCGAGACAGTCGCAGTAATTTGCCACTCGTAAGTACGAAATCGATACCGTCTCTCTAGCCGTCGCGAATCAGCGTCGATCGTTTATCCCGACGAATCGGATCGACGGTATCGAAACAGGGAGGAATGGAGACGCGAAGCTTGGCGTCTCGTCTTATCAAAGTTCATCAACCCGGTGTTGTATTAGTTTCTCTCGGGCAGGCGGCTTTAAACGCGGCAGGAGCTGCACGGTGGTTCATTGAACCAGATCGGTTAATGTGGGTCGTCGTAATTCTAGACCCGCCGTCTATTTTCCGGCCGAAGCTGTCCATCGGATAATTCTGATGAGGCTATTGTTCGCTCGGCAGAAGATTTCATTCGTTACGTAACGTTAACCTATTCCAGCGAATTCGCTGGACGTTCGCCTCGAGAGGAACGATCTATTCTCGTCTAACTACTCTTTACTCCGGCTCCTATGGAGCAACGACCCCTATATAGACTTCTATAATGCCTGCCGATTAACGGACCCCAGCGCCATTTTTTTTCCCCCCAGTTTTAAATACGCCCCTCCTCTTTCGGTTCCAGGTGAAGGTAATGCTGAAGGTATCGTCCGGAGAAGGCGGCAGCTTCTTCAACGCCGACAAGAGGAAGAAACAGGTGACGCTGGTGGACCCAACGACCGGACAATCTTCGTCGGCGGACGATCGCAGGCCGACCGTGGCAGCGCCCAAGATGTTTGCCTTCGACGCGATATTTACCGAGGAGGACTCTCAGGTACGCTCTCGGGTTCCCTCGACGATTGGTCGATAATTCGGAAACAACGATTTTTATCGCGATCTGCCACTCGCGCTCGCGCCCTTCGAGTCCCCCTCGAAGACGCGCAATTCCACGACCAAGAGTCCTCCTGGCTCTCTCGCGAGCGGCGGGATCGTTTTTCCACGGCTGTTCGGCGCTAGCATCGGACTTCTCGAGCCTCGCTACCAAGATAAATAGGGAAAGACGACTCGCGTTCATCCTAGAGACGCAGGAGACGTCCCTGCCGGGCGCATAACTAAACTAATTTTCCGACCTCTAAACTCCACCTCCCGACAGGAAAATCCAACCTCCCCGATCCCTCTCCGCCCCGCGAACCCTCGGGCGAGCGTTGCTTCTTGCTCGTGACTTCTCCTTCCTCCGTGCAGGCAGATCGAATCGAAGCCTCGATGGTTATTTCCGAATTTTCCCACTGTCTTTCGCAGTCGAAAATTTCCCATTCCCGCGTTCATCCCGCGTTTATTTCGCGTCACCGTCGTCGCCTCGCGAAAATGGATGTCCTCGCGAACGCGAGATTCCGCCAATCACCGGCGTCGCTACTAAATCTTCGTTTGCATCCGCGACTCCTTCGCGGCTTCGCGCCGTTACTCCGGTCCCGGGGAAAATGGAAAACCAGCGTCAGATCGATCACCGTCTCCGGTCTGACCGGACCAGCCGCGAAGACAACGAGGTCGGCCGATTCTTTTCCCGCTGCTCCGCTACCGTGGTGAAGTTTATTGCCGTGGCATTGATGAACGACATCGCCGCGGCGGATGTCATCGGGGAGCGCGGCGTTACTATATCGCGGATGCATGCACGGTAACGCGGACGTGTATATACGTGCACCGAGATATTTCGATGCTCTCCGGGGACATTATCGAGCGTCGGATTCAAATGAGCCCGGAGCTACTCGGTTTTCCCGGCTCTTCCCCCTTCCGCCCCGCGCCAGCCCCGCTATCCCACGCCGACTGCCAGTCCTCTCCAGGGACTAGCCCTTCGTTCCCCGCCAGCCACGCGTTCCTCTGGCCCTTTGACGCGAGGCGCACCCCTATCCGGCAGTGTTTAGAAGAACCAGGCAAAGCGATCGATTGATTCGATCAAATGTCCGCGTCGGTCGCGACGATTGTCATCCAAAGTCACAATGGCCGCCCTACCCTCCCTGGCTTCTCTATTTTCTTCTCTTTTCGCCTTTCTCCTCCCCCATCCTCCCTATTTCGGTTCTCCACCGCGCCCACAGTTCCTCCGAACTGGCCAAAGTTCCAAGTCGAGTCATAGAAGAGGGACACACAGCACGCAGGGAGAATGTGTGCCCTGTCACAGAGGGGGACGGTTCGTCCTTTTCGACCACCGCCCGTCAAATGCAGCCCCGTGTGAATATTTTACAACCGGCGCGGACCGATGCCGGCCCGAAAGTGCTTCATCTTTAACCAGTCCCTCGCTCGCCTCTTCCGTTTTTCCGCCTGTCCGTCGCGACGCGTGTACCCCCCGCTCTGTGCATGCAATTCGGGATAGTTTCGCGCGTGGCTTTCGCTTTTAGCATTTCCGATTGTCGTTCGTACTCCATTCGATCTCTCCGTTACGACGCGATCGATATTCCCAGATCGATCGACGACACGGGGGCGAGTTTGAAAAACGCGCGTTCCACCAGATGGAATTACACGCGGGGAAACGTAATCCAGCCCGTGCGCAATTCTCGTGGACCGATGATCTTTGGCCAACGGATACCTTTGCCATCCGAGTCCGCAAATACGCGAACCGCGGACGCCGGACCGCCGTGTGTGGAGACGCGTCCCGATATAACGCGCAAACAGACAGCGGCCGCTGGATTATGGGTCAGTCGTAAATTAACGTGGTCCATCGGAGCTATCGGTCGTTGAATGCAACCCGTTGGTGCCACTTGGTGCCGAGCCGAAACGCGCGAAATTCGCGGCGCAGGGAGCGGGATCCGTGCCACCTGGCAGAGCCATGAAATAATTACTCGAGGGGTAACTTTGCTCCGGAGTGGAATCGTCACCCGACGCGAATTCAACGTCGACTGCGAGCGTTCCCGTAAATGTGCCCGTGTTGGAAGTTTCGCGGAAGACTAACGTTGTTGAACTTCCGTCTGCGCGATGGGAAAGAAACATCGGGGGTAGGGGGTGGAAAGTTGCCGGCAGACTAGCATCGCGGGTAGAAATAGCGAGGGAAACTGACGTTACGACGACTAAGCCGAATCCTCGATAAATTCGTAATATCGCTGGCTGTCAGGTCCATTCATCCTCGCGAGTTGCGGCCATTACGTAAGAGTAGACACGTACAGGTTGCCGGCGTCGGGGTAGTTTCGCGTTCGCTCAAAGTTTATTTCCGCGGAGCCAGCGCCGGGGAAAAAGGCGGAGAAGAAAGGACGACGTTTCGGAGGGAAATGTCTTTGAAGTTCCAATTTGTTCGACGCTCCTGCGACGCGCCGAGGCGCGAGGCGTCGTTACGCCAACGCAGCCGGGTGGCGTGGTTTTCGGAGCCGGCAATTTGCCAACGGTAATACCTCGCACTTCCGAATCGCGTTACGCTCGCGTTGCGAAGATTCCCAACCGCGCTGCTATTCGCGGCTACCGCTTCCCGAATAGGATCAGCCGCGTCGGGATGAAGCTGGAATTTTAAATTCCACCGTATTTTTCATCTCGATGGGTAATCGGCTAAACAACGGGATAGCGCAATCCGTGGACCCTCGCGACATTTAACTCGCATCCTTTCGAACCTTCACCACTGTCGAAACACCCGAGCCACGTATACTATTCCCTACCTTCACCCCTAAAGACGGAAGACCCGATTCGAGGAAACAACGGTTTACTCCTTTACGACCAGCGTCCCACGACACTAGGATCTCTTGAAACGCCACTCGAGCTAGTCTTACAAGGACGGTACAAGTGCTTCGGGTCATTGATTTAGTTGAAACTTTGCCATCCAGTTCGAGAAAACGTACCATTGTAGGGGCAACTGCTCGATAGTTTTCGAGATGTTTATGATTAAGGATTTAGTATTCTTGGCTAGAGAATTCGTCCGAATAGTTATCGATAGTTACCAAGTGTCGCTGCAGTCTAACGGCAACATCCGAAAATTGCAATCAGCGTAGGAATTGTCGCAGCCGCGGTGGTCATTCAAAGCTTAAACGCGATTTTCGTTCATAACGACGCTGGCAATAAGGATATATAATAAAACAGTCCACCATTTATCTTGGGACGTGCGGTCCTGGGGCCGCATATACGTGTTCCTCGGCCATAGCAACGCGTTTACGTAGGACACGCTTACGAGTCCCTCGGCTCTATCAGTTATTTCCGCGAACGCAAACATGCGGCGTTCGTTCGCAAAGGGTTAAAAAAGGTTCGGACGAAACGCAATCAGCGAAGAGATGGCGCTCTTGCGTCGTACAAAGCCGCGTCTCTCGTCCCGACGACGGAATTATAATCTCGGAGGCGCGAAACAAACCTCGTGCCAGCGCGGTCAGGATACTTATCCGTCAACAGAGGACGAGGAGAAAGGCTGTCGATCTCAGGTGTCTCGACAGCGTCGGAGGAAAAGGAAGCGAAGTGTGCTCGAAGCTCGGCACGCTCACGGATCCGTTCGGTGTGCAAATGAAACCTGGCCAAATTAATTGAACATCCATCTCAATTACGGGGCTCCGTAGGTGAATACGCCGGACTAGACGCGTTCCCGTTCGAGATCTTACGGGTGTGTACACCGCGTATATCGCCGCTGGCCGCCGACAATTCTATCCCCGCGGACGATGCTGCAGGACAATGCATCCTGGACAGAATAATTCACTGGAGCCATTATGGTCGGTCCAGGACAAGGGCTTTATTATTGACTTACGACTAATAGTCACGCTGTGGATTACGCGCGTGTGTACGGTGTGCGGTACGCGCTTGCGTACACACTGTCTCTCTCTTTCTCTTCCCACCTGGCATCTGTCGATTCCCGCTGCTCCTCTCTCGCTCCCTCTCCCCGTCGTCTGCGTTTTACTTTCTCTGTCTGTACGAGCAACGATGTCGGCGGCGGCGGCGGCGGCAGCAGCAGTAGCAGGTTCCCTTCTCTCGCGGCGTGGCTTCGATCTCTATTGCTCATTTCCCAGCGAATGCTAATCGAACGGACCGCGGTGGAACGCCTGGAAATTCACGGTGCGTGGCTTCTTGTTCTCCTCGGCGGCTTTCCGGGTGTCCGCACGAAAATGGATCGGTCGCGCGTCTTCCCACCCTACCCTGAGCCGCGCAGACGGGATTAGCCGATCCAGGCGTATCGACGCCGGATTCTTATTAAATCGTCGAGGCGGAGGCCGTCGAATTCTTATTAAGAGGAGAAAAATCCACCGGTACCTTTCCGCCGCTCCTCTCTAATTTGCCGCCCGGTTTCGATTATGGAGATTACCGAAAAATTATGCTCGACCCTCCACGAACTCGCCCCGCGAGATTAAAGCGGGGGGTTCGTGTTTGTGCTCGAATCGTTCCCGGGATTGGACGGGTTCGTGTTTTTACGTTTCCACGGGAATAAACGCAGTTGAGCATCGGGAATACGCGAGCGCGTGTTCTTTATTCCGGGATAGTTCGAATCACGCGCCATTATTTTCCACGTCCGCCGTTCGAATCCGTTTGTGAATCGTCACGTGTCGATCGACAAAGCCCAACGCGCGCTTCCGTTAATCAGAATTCGTTGGCCGCGCGGCGCGGTGCGGTCTAGACTCGCGCCATTATTCCTAGACTCGGCACACGCACCCGTCGATCAACCATTCCGTCTGTGAGCGTTCCTCTTTGAGGACGTTTGCCGTGTAATCGTTGCACACTTGGGCGACGTTGGAAAAATCAACGCGACCCTCGATCGGTCGTGATCTGTCCGGTGAATAAGCATCCCTCGAATAGGGGTTGATAGCGACGTTCTAACGGCACGAGGAGCCATGCTAATCTGTAAACCAATCATACGGGCCCGTGGAACGGATCCATCCCAATTGGCCGCAT